GAATTCAGCTACGCTATTCACGTAGCTTAATTTGCGTATCTTAAATCGACTCCCCCCTGTAGTGTAGATGTACCCTAACTGATCTTCTGCATATGACAGACTTTCTTGCCCTGTGGACCTCTTTCTGCCATTTTCAGTTTTGCAAGGACCATGCCTCATCTCTACAAGGCCTGAATTCATGTTCTATTTTCCTGTATGACAACAGACAGGATGTACTGTCACTAAAGGAAGATGATATGGAACTGTCAGAGTAATCCGCCAGGATCCAAGTAAGGGATGCTGTTTAAATCCTAACAGGAAGGGGAGACAGAGAGAGGAGATTGTGCTGTCTTACAGCACAAAAGATGTGCATGAGACAGATCGTGCCTGGGGAGCTGTCACTCAAAGAGGGAGTTTTTGAAAGGGATCACTTGGGATGGAAAGGGGAGAGTATCTCAAATATAAAAAGGGACCAGTTGGAAGAACAAATTACCAGATATACATTTGAGTTTACTTCCTCTGCTGTTTAGACAGTGGTTGTGACAGACATTGCAACCACATGCAGTATCTGAAGACCATATTATATTAAATTTATGAATGTTCTATCTACCATTGTGGACCAGGGATTGCATTCATGGGAAGAAGGTTACTATAACTCCTCTACAAACTAACCAACCTGCCCCAAGCCTCACCTTCAAAGCACTGTCCGCACAGCTATTTATAGAGCGTGAGCTCACCTCTAGCCCAAGTCTGTTGACCCAGGCTGTGAGGCTCACTTCTATGAGCTGTGTACAAATACCCAATAAGTGCACAGTGACTGCAGCCTAGCCCCCGGTCAGAAGGAGAGGGATGTGGGTCCCAGTCCAGAGACAGGTGAAGACTAGAGGCTTGAAACCGGAGTGCTTGTTCCTTACAGGTACCATAAAATTATGACAGGTGTAAAAAGGTTCACCTTGCAGTCTATTTAGTAGGACGTCAATAACTTTAAAAAAGTAGTCACATTTCTTTCTGAAATAGTTGTATGTAGAGGTATTTGTAGCACATAAAGTTACTCTAACTGAAAAAAAAATGAAAAAAAAACAGCTTTTTTTTTCCAGTTTATTTTGTACATTTGACAGCACTTTGGATGCAGCCAGTGCCATGGTTTCTTTTGTAGAGAGGGAAATGATTCTGACTATGTGTGGATCTTTCACAGCAACAGGGAGAGGGAAAAGAGAGCGGGGGAAAAAAAAGCTATATATAAAAAAGATAAATGTGATTGCTAGGGTCTCAGAGGGGGGTCTAGCCCACATGAACTACATAGAGCTCTTTTTTAAGAGTGGAAGTTTCCATTTAATGCATCCCTGTGCTGTCAGCTTTCACATTTTCCTGTCTAGAGTCTGTATGTTGTAATGTTCCTGCATTTCTTTATTTTGATATCTGCTCCTTGTCTCTTAGGGCTTGTCTGCATGGGGAAATTTTTTCAGCATTACTGTATCAGAATAGCTCCCTGTGTGGACACTTATTACAGAATAAAAGTGCATTGTTGTGATTTAGCTTATGTTACATTGGAAGTGTATAACTATAATGGTATAATTATATTGGTAAATTTCCCAATGTGGACAGGTCCTTAGTTTTTGTTATTAATATCAATAAATTGTCGGTCATTCTACATATGTGACCATTTATATTTAAGAATGGGAGGTTGACTCAGATAGGTTTTCAGCTACTCATGGCAATGAAAACAAAGAGCAGATGTTGGCAGCATAGACTATTGATTGCAACAGCCCTTTGAGAAACTGCTAGTTAGACAGACAGATTCAGCAATCAAAAAGACATCAGAGACACCCTCAAAAAAGTAAGACACCGCCTGTAACCTGGGAAAGGAATTTCAGCAGCATTAGCTTAAACACCCTCACCCCACCCAGGATTTTTCACTAGGAAAGCTGTATAAAATTTGATGTAAACTGGCAAAGCGTTAGAAATTTCTTAATACAATATTCTCAGCTTCAGTCAAGGGAGAAGTAGAGGTCTTGCAACACAAGACACTCCTTCCTGTCTAAGGAATCTGTAGATCTAGGTTTTATTTCCAACTCTGTCGCAGATTTCCTGTGCAACCTCTTGGGTAAGTTACTTAGGCCTGGTCTACATTAGAAAATTAAGTTGGCTTAACTACACTGCTCAGGGGTATGAAAAACCCACATCCCTGAGCAGCGTAGTTAAGCCAACCTAACCCCAGTATAGACAGTGCTGTGTCAATAGAAGAATGTTTCCATTGACAAAGCTACTGCCTCTCAGGGAGGTGGATTACCTGTGCAGACAGAACCTCACCCTTTGGCATAGGTGGTAGTTATGCTGCAGTGACACAGCTGTAGAGCTTCCGTGTAGACATTGCCAGCTGTGTGGGGCAGGCTCTGTCTTTTTGTTCTGTTTGTACAGCACCTCGCACAAGGGGGCCTGATCCATGACTGGCGCTCCTAGGCTTTATTGCAACACAAATAATACAATACTCAGGACCAGATTTTCCAAAGAAGCTCAGCTCCCATCTAGGCACCAAAATAAGTATCCAGATTTTCAGAGGGCTGCAGGTATCACCCCCACAACCTGCAAGGTGCAGGCATTTGACTAACCAGGGGGAGCCAGAGGAGGGGGCAGTGCACAGCCCAGGTGGCAGGATCTCTGGACAGACTCACCTTCCTGCTGCACCGCGTTGGCCACAGCTTTTTTCATGCGTCCGGATTTGACGATGGCAGGGTCAGAGTTGGCATAATCCGCCACCGTCACTAGCAGGACGAGAGAAAGGAGAGGTGTCAGGGAATGGGAGAGGGCTGCCTGGCAAATGGGGTGAGGGATCTACAGAGAAGGGGCTTCTAACACCACCCGAAGAAAGAGGTCTGAAAGTGGTAGCGAGAGAGGGGGTTTGACCCAGTGACTGTGCACACCCCCTGCTGGGTCAGGGACCCAGGGACTGTGGGCACCACCCACACTGGGGTGACCAAGAGGCTGCGCCCCCACCTCGGGACAGGGGAAGGGGGGCGGCGAGTCGGGTGCCCGGGCGCCCTCACCACGGGACAGGGGGGGTGAGTGAGTCGGGAGCCCCAGCCGGGACAGGGCACGGAGGGGTGACTCGAGGAGGGCCGGAAGGGCGGCTGTCACCGCCACGTCCGGGCGGCGGGGGAGGGGGGATGACCCGGGGCCCTCACCCCGCTCGGAGCAGACGTCATCGGCCCGGAACTTGAGGCGCTTGCGGGCCCCTCTCCTGCGCATGTCGGCGGCGCGCGGCGCGGGGGTCACTGCGGGGCGGCTCCTCGGGGCCATGTCCCGGGCGGGCGGGAAGCGGGGCCGCGCGCACCCCACCTCCCTGCGTCCGGCTCCACGGCTCACCCCGGCCCGGCCCCCATCTCGCGAGAGCGCCAACCGCTCGGGGCGCGAGGAAGACGCCATCCACCCGCGCGCTCTGACGTCATCAGGGCGCCCTGTGGGCGTAGCTGGCTCCTTTCCTTTCCTGCTGATCCGAGACTCCGATTGTCCGGCCCGGCTGCGCTTAGCAACGCCCCTCCCCCGCCCTGCCACGTCATCGCCCCCCACCCCCTGTGCGGCCCGGCCCCTGCTCCCCTCCCCCCCAATAAAAGAGACAGGGCCACTGTAC